AAGCAGGATTTCTAATATCACATGTTGTTTAAAAGCTGATGTTCACTCATCACAGTGCTTATACCTCATATGCATCTCTTTTAATAATGTAGTTGGAGTCGTGCTTGTTTTAGTGAAACTTGAATCTTTGTAAAGATTTCTGCCTTTTAGTTAATTGAGCTTTTTTGTGGCAAAACCACAGAAACAAAAAGATTGCTCAAAGCAGTGTAAAATTTATATAAGCTTAAATATCTGAAGGGGATCTTTTATGTTGTTTTACTGATAGAAAATTAAAATATTTCAAATTAAAAATCAATACTGTCTTGTTAAAATGTTTATCTCCTCTGCTAGGGTTTGCCAGCATGGGAACATTATTGCATCGTTATCACTAATCAGTACAAAAGAAAGCAGTTGTTGAAAAGGGTTTGACTAATATTGCAAGTGGTTAAAGAAATTTTAAATGCTGTTATCCAAATTGTTCATTATTCAGTAAACTTGGAAGCATTTGCAGTAAAGAGATCTAAAAGTACCCAGTACAGGTTTCTTAAAAACAAGCAACCACCCGGTCTTTTTTTGAAACCTCTAACCATTTAGAGTGGAAGGGACTCGAGTCTGTCCCAGCTGACATTGGGAGAGGCTGTGTACACCCTGGATAGATCCTTAGTCCATCACTGGGCTCCTGAAATTGAACAAAATTCCTAAGCCAGTATTATTTTCTTGGGTTATTTTATTCCTCCTAAGCCAGAATTTCATACTTTGTTGAACCCTTTTTGCTTTTTTGCTTTTGCTAGTGCATAGTTGTACATCTTGGTGTTTAAATACCTCTTGTTCATAATTTGTAGGGTTGCACATCACATTAGTGGGAAACATTCACTGACATAATTTTAATCCATTCATTGAGAAAAGCACTCCACGAGGAGGGGTTAAAGGAGCCTGTTATTAGTATGACTTCTACATTTACCCATGTCTCTGTATTCCCTCATCTCTCCTCTTTAATCCGTCGCTGCGTTTCTCAGGAGAGATGGTGCGTCAGGCTCGAGTCTTGGCTCAGGCCACCTCCGACTTGGTGAATGCCATGAGGTCCGATGCAGAAGCCGAGGTTGACGTCGACAATTCTAAGAAGTTGCTGGCAGCTGCTAAATTGTTGGCTGATGCCACAGCAAGGATGGTGGAGGCAGCAAAGGTAAGAATCATATTTATTAAATGGTGAATGGACTGGTTCTTATATAGTGCTTTTTTTAGTCGACTTGAGCAATCAAAACACTTTATCCTACACACAGCACTTTTTTTGCATCTAAGTGCTTTCCATCTAATAATCACTCTGCGATCAAGGGATCACTGGCAACTCAGGGTTCATCATCTTGCCCCTTTAGTATGCAGAGTGGAGCAGCCAGGTATCGAACCAGCAACCTTCCAATTCTCCTTAGGCTAAAATTTCAAAAACACGCCTGTTTATCTTTTTTTGGAATTTGGCTTTGATACGTATTCTGTCCCCAAAAAGACTGAACTGAGCTAAAGATTTCATTTTAATCTCAGTAATGGCATTTTTAAGATTGTGTAAAGATCCAGTGGGCTTGGCTTTGCTTCTCTGGTATGTATAAAATGACCTTTATAGTGACAGTAGAGGGGAAAGAAGCAGAACCAGAGACCCCAAGAGGGAGGTAGGTGTGTGTGTGTGTGTTCACACAAAGGGGAGAGAGGTTATTCTGCTTGGTCTTGTTGGCACGGTTCTAATTCTTTAATAAAAGATGACCTTAAAAACTTTTTCAATTTAAAAAGAAAAAAAAAAAACCCTCTTGATCCTTATTTCTAGGATGCTTTTCTCAAAGTGAACATCTACAGGGTCTGTCTTCTTGTTAAGCTGCATATTGAATTGTTGTTGGTTAATGTTGTGAATTATCGTTGGTGGTTTAGTGACACTGCTCATTCTTTTGTACTTGTAGAGTTTGTGTGTTAGAGTCTGTTTGTGAGTTATTTTATTTTAAATACTTTGAAATTACACATTAAAAATCTAGGCCTTGTTTAGTTCATTTATAGACACTTGGAGTTGTGTGAATAGTGACTTTTTTATATTGAAAATATAATACATTCAGGCAGTTTTGGAGCTCACTGAGTAACAAATTATACTTTGAAATGAAATGAAGAAAATCCTGCTCCCTTAAACCTTCCTCTGATAAACAGTAATAGTTGAGATTAGGAATTACTTTGAAGTAACAATAATCAACTAAAGTGTAAAATTCACAGAATTGGTCTGGAGCAATAGATTGTTTCATTTTCTCTCATCTACTTATTTCTTCATAACTCTTTTATGAAAGCAACATTAAAATTGCCTGGACATCAAAATTCATTCTCCCCAGACTTTTGAGGTCAGGCTTAGCTTTGCCTCTTATCTCATCGTCTATTATCCAAATTATTTATCTGCTATCTTTCTACGTCGGTCCCGTTATCTGTCAACAGAATCTCACGCTGATATTAATAACTCTCAACTCCCACCATGAAAATTAAATGATGCCCTCCAGCTGGTTGGTAGAGTCTGATGCCAGACTTATCACCATCACAGCTGTATGTTTATCCGTGTGAATGGAAGCTGAGACCTTAGCCAACCATTGCCTTGGTAACGGGTTTAGCATATTTAGCTTATTTCTTTTGCTCCAAATTGTAAAATCAATGCTGATGCTTGAGCACTGTTGACTTGCTGAAACTCGCGTGCCTTGCTGCTATTAAACAATCTCGGATTTTAAAGAGTAGTTCCCCAGGATGAATTCTTTCTTGCAAAGTGTTGTTACACCCTGTGGAAAACATCACTTTCTAATAATTATGCAAATTGGCTGCTCTATTTAAATGGTGTCAGCAGTTGCCAACAGGCTGATGACAGCTGCAAACTGCACCGACTCGAAACCGGTTACTAACAACATTTTAACTCTGATTAATCCTCTTGGAGCACAAAATGAGTTTTGTTTTTGTCTGTGTGCTCGTGATATATTGGGTTGCAGTGACTTCTGCCAGTAGCATCAGTGAGGTTAAATATTTCTTTAATGACATGTGTTGTCATGCACACCTTCCTCTCTGTGTAGCTGCAGGTGATGCTCTCCATTAATTAACTTAATGGCAGCAGGCTGAGCTTTCTCTCCAACAGCAGGAGACGGGAAGGTGCGAGTACCCAGTAAACATGTACTGCTGTATGTATAAACAGGAAGATGGAAAAGCTTCTTGATATGAATAAACAACAGCTCCTGACATTTAGCTGTCTACAAAGAAATGATTGTTTGCATCAGGTTGAGCAGTGGGAAAGTCATTTTCAAAGATTTCTCTGGACTGGACGTTCTAAGATTATTTCTTCCTGCCTTGCCTATCTGTCATGTATATGCTTATCTGTGTGTGTGTTCTCAGGGAGCAGCAGCCTATCCAGAAAATGAAGACCAGCAGCAGAGACTGAGGGAGGCTGCAGAGGGGCTGCGTGTGGCCACTAATGCTGCTGCTCAAAATGCCATCAAGAAGAAACTGATCAACAGACTGGAGGTCAGCAGAGCAAAATTAGCAGTTGCACATCGACCCAAGTGAATAAGCTACCACAGACAGATGATATTTCTTCCTGAATTTAGCCTGGGAGGTGATACCGTGCTATCTCCAGCACCAATTCTAAATGTCACCATCTCTAAAGTTGTATTAGTATTAGGATACTGTGTCACCGTCTACAAAGTTCAAATGAGGCACCAAAGATTAGGGAAGATGAGATTTTGATGTTTAGTAAGCTGTTTTCACCATTTAAATGTCAGGTTTTAAATATTTGCTTCAGTTTGTTTATTTCTTTCTTTTTGCCTGAAATGGGAAAAGAAGTACAATCGAAATGGATCGAAAGTTGCTCGTATGCCTTAAGGTTGCTTGACTCACAACTCAATATCGCCTCAAATAATAATGTTGAGCTCGTTCAGAAGGATTTCTAAAATTCACCTGATTTTGTTTGTTTATTTAATTTCATTTTTTAAATGCACTTTCCTTGTATATAGTCTTTTTACATAACACCTTTTTTTAAATATAAGAAGAAAATGTATGAAAACACAAGTCCCACTCCTAATTATTAGTCTTTTATGCTGCATATTTAGCAGCATATTTACCATTTCAGCATCCAGAAGCAGAGGAGTGAAGAGAGTGTGACACTGTGACTGCGAAACCATATTCTACATGTGACGTTTGTGTGGGTCTTGTCATTATTCCTCAGAATGCTGCCAAGCAGGCTGCAGCTGCAGCCACACAGACAATCGCCGCTGCTCAAAACGCCGCCGCCTCCAACAAGAACATAGCTGCTCACCAGCAGCTGGTGCAGAGTTGTAAGGTGAGGGATGTTGCTAACAGCAGGGTGCCATTTATTTTTGGTGGTTTTGGCTTTTTTTTTAATGTGAATTGCATTGAAACATGTTTCTTTCATATCTTTATGGTAATGTGTCTCCATGTTTGTGTGTGTAGGCAGTTGCAGATCACATCCCACAGCTTGTCCAGGGAGTCCGTGGCAGTCAGGCCAAACCGGAGGACCTGAGTGCACAGTTGGCCCTCATTATTGCCAGCCAGAACTTCTTACAGGTGCAGCCCTTTATGATTTGATATGTTTATGATATTTGGTTTGCCTGTTTTGCTGGTGTGGGGATTGTTAAAAGTTTATGCGCCCGCACTCGTACTGGGTAACTTCAGTCCTACATTGGAAACCAGGCTAAAAGTATAAATAGTGCTTCTGTCATGTGGGGACGTTAAAAATAGGCCGGTAACCTCTTTTTGGTGTTAGCGGGCGGTTACAGAAATGCTGGTGTGATGGTATTATGTGTTAAATACCTAGCTGGGGTTTCAGAGCCCCACATAATACCCTTTGAAGAACTATCACCAAGTCTGTGAACTACACAATGCACTGGTTGCTTGATTCTCTAAGGGAAAGCATTCCGTTGAGCCCTATACGTTTTATATAAATACAATTTTATTAAAAATTTAAATTAATGTTTTTTGGGGTTTTTTTCCCCACATCTCTCTTTCTGCAGCCTGGCAGTAAGATGGTGACCTCGGCCAAGTCATCTGTTCCCACGGTGACTGATCAGGCTGCAGCCATGCAACTGGGTCAGTGTGCCAAGAACCTGGCCACCTGCCTGGCGGAGCTGAGGACATCTGCACAGAAGGTAGAGCATAGACACGCACGGGAATTCTTGCATTCCCATGTGTGCATGTAGGAATTTATTCTTGCATGCATAGTATTCACAAAATGACTGGATTTTGGACATGCAGATCGCATGTGCAAGAAAATATTTTGCCTTTGTGGATCATATACAAATTTTAGACCTCATAGGAACAGACAAAAAGCTTCATTTCTGTTCAAAGATCATTGCTTACAGGTGAAACAGAAACAGCTGTAACTGACCATATACCATAAACTTGCTTTTGTTTCTAGGCTCACGAAGCTTGTGGCCCCATGGAGATAGACTCTGCCCTTACAGCCATCCAGACCCTAAGAAGTGAGCTACAGGATGCCAAGATGACTGCTGTGAATGCCCAACTAAAACCACTTCCTGGAGAATCAGTAAGAAACATTGTAGCCCCATAAAACAGAGTCGGGACTCAGCTGCACTAGATTCAAGACATGCTCATGCTGCCAGTGCATGAGCATGTCAGAAGCGAGTTTGCAGGCTAATATTTTGTTTTCAGTTACTAAAATACAAAGCCTCTATCTTCTCTCCCCCCCTTCCCCCCTCTCTAGCTGGAGAAGTGTGCTCAGGATCTGGGCAGCACCTCCAAGTCTGTGGGATCCTCTATGGCTCAGCTGCTCACCTGTGCTGCACAAGGAAATGAACACTACACAGGTTGGTACTGCTGACATCATTCTAGTAAAAAAAACGTCAAACCGAGGCAAGAGGAAGAAATCTTTATCATTTTAGGAAACCATATACAACCTTTCATCTATTGCCTCAAGAAGGCCTACTTCTTTATTATAAACCAACTAGACCCGCAGCTTGATGTCGCACCTTAATGAGCTGAATTTATGGTCACTAGTTGTCTTGACCTTTCTCAAGTTCATCCTGTGCTATTTTCTCTTGCTTTGCTCTCCAGAATGTAGCACACACAAGGCTCGCTGGTGATTTCATTAGCTTTAACAGTATCCTCGGTTAGAGCACAGCCCAAAGAACCAGAGGAGAAATACACCCATCGCCTGGAAACCGTTTTTCCTTTTTCCTCCCCCTTGAGTAATCTTGTTATCTGAACCATAATATAGTTTCATTCCATTTGTTTTATCCTATCCAGCTAATTTGTTGTAGATGAGATGTCACATTTCTCATGAGACTCTCATTGTCGGTTCCTGTCTGTGAGGGGAAAGAGCCTCATGGCACCTTTGTTTTGTTGCTTGTTGCTTCACATTTCTCGAGACAGAAGAATTACTTTTTGTGCCTTTAACAAATGCCATTACAAATTTTTATGACTCGAAGATGACAGTGAACACTGTCTTGTCACAAAGTGTCATAGCTTTAATAACGCACTGTGATCCCTCTGTGTCAGTTACATTTGTACTGTCTCTTACCTCTGATCATCCTGCGTGTAGGAATAGCAGCCAGAGAGACAGCTCAGGCTCTAAAAACACTTGCCCAAGCAGCCCGTGGCGTTGCTGCTTCCACCACGGACCCCAAGGGCGCGGCTGCCATGCTGGACTCGGCCCGTGACGTTATGGAGGGCTCTGCGCTTCTCATACATGAGGCTAAGCAGGCACTGATTTCCCCCGGAGATGCTGAAAGCCAGCAGAGACTGGCGCAGGTGAGATGGTTCAGAATTGCTCGAGGTTATGGAGTCCAACACTGCAGATGGCAGGAAGGCTCAGTCCAAGCCCTCGGCTTCCTTTCAGATTATGGCACCTGTGCCTTAAAAGAAAAGTCATCAAAATAAACTCCTGAACAATCATGAACTAAATGAAATACACTGTTAAAAGTAATATCTTTCCCCTGGGACTCACGGAGGAATTGAACAGGAAGTTTAATAATAGGTCTTACTGAATATGTCGTGAATTTACATGATGTGACTTTTAAAGATGAAACCAGGTTCTGTTTTTGTTTAATATATTTATTAATCAGTCTTTCTTTCTTTTGGTTAATATGTTTAGTTGAATATTTACGTTTAGAAGGATATTTACATCTGCTTGGTGATGCAGTCAAGTGAACACCTGTCAAATTTAGCAAGTAGCTCTATAATAAACCAGGTGGCAATTTATTTAAGTATTTTATTTATTTATACCTCGTTGCCCAGGTGTTTTCCACTCAAAATTAATAAATGATGTGGTATCAATGGAGAAAAATGAATATTAGAATAACCAAATAGTGTTATCTAAGGCCTTTTGGAAATGTTTAGTAAAACAAATAAATTTTGGATGTGTGAGCCTCTCTGTTATCTTTGAACTGCTTCACTGAGATCTCGTGTCATGTTGTTGTGTGCTTCAGGGGTCGCTATGTGATATTTATGATGAATAAATAAATTATATTTATTATGTTATTTTCCATGAAGAAATATGACAGAATGAGATGCAGTTTCTTAAGACTCAGGTCTATGAAAATAAGTAATGGCCTAAATAAAATATCAAAATAAAAGTAGTAAAACAAATGAATGTAATAAAAAAATTATATAAACTAATGAACTATACAATAAATGACCCTTTAAAATAAAAATAATGGCCTGCTCCATAAGTCTATTAAAAAGTGCAGCAGTTTGAAGTGAAAAATGTTTGTTTTCAGAGGCGTGACAGCTGAACAGTCTCACTACATCTGACAAAAACCTTTTCAGCCTTATGGACAACTGGCACTTTTTGGGGATAATTGCTATGCTCATTAACGTTTTGAGTTTGGATTTCTAGATTAGCTTGTCCACCTGTGCCCACCCTCCTAACCCAGTTTGCTGTGCGTTTCAGGTGGCGAAGGCTGTGTCTCATTCCCTAAACAACTGCGTCAACTGTCTACCTGGCCAGAAGGATGTGGACATGGCTCTCAAGAGCATCGGAGAGGCCAGCAAGAAGCTACTGATTGAAACCGTGAGTCATCGGAGCTCTGCCGGCACAACATCGGCATCACAGATTGCTTTCTGTTCCCACGGCGGGAGGAAAAAAAGAAACAACCTCGAGAAATATGTGATTAATGACACGTACAAGTGAAGAGCAGGACTGACCTTTTAAATATCATTTCAAGCATTCTTTAGGGACCACTTTTAAATCATTCAGCAGCGTTGTTCATCTGACGGGAGTGGAAACCTGATTTCATTTAAGCATGCAAGTCAGGAAAGGGTCATGATTTACTTTTCTATTGCTTTTTAGACATTTGTCAAGTTTCAAATTTAAGACTAAACATGTTTTGGTTTACAGACAGTTTTCAGTTTATAGGGTTAGCACTAAAGTGACATCATTATTGCTGATACACCTGCTGTAAATGCATTGGGGGAACTGTTAGATATTACTCTGACGCTTACAAATAATTTAATTTCTTTCGTCTTGAATCATTCAATTTTGTGCTGCCTTCAGATCCCACCTGCCTCCAAGTCATTCCAGGAGGCCCAGAGTGAGCTCAACCAAACAGCAGCTGAACTAAACCAGTCAGCGGGCGAGGTGGTCCACGCCTCCAGAGGCTCCAGCAGCCAGCTGGCTGTGGCCTCTGGAAAGTTCAGCCAAGACTTTGATGAGTTCCTGGATGCTGGCATCGAGATGGCTGGGCACACTCAGGTTGGTTTTGTATCTCAATTCCAACATCTGGTCATCAATATTAAGACAGTAGTAGCACGTATCACAACTCAGATATCGCAGTAAAGAGACAAAGACTTCAGACTCCTTTGAAATGTATTTTCACACGCTTATGTGTGTGTGTCATTCTAGAAAAAGGACGACCAGGTGCAGGTGATTGGTAACCTGAAGAACATCTCCATGGCTTCTAGCAAACTGCTGTTGGCTGCTAAAAGTTTGTCTGTGGACCCAGCAGCAGCAAACGCCAAGAACCTGCTAGCTGCTGCAGCAAGGTACGACAACTGGCCCCTACACGCACCCACACCCACAAACCATGATTTTTAATATTTACAGCACATTTGATTGGTAGTATCTCATGATAGATCTTAAAATCAAAGAGTCGATATAAGGCTCAAGATCCAGGGTTCGGTAATAAGACTAACAGCAAATAATTAGCTGTTCAAAGCTATGAACATAATAATTATATTGTATTGCTATTGGTTTAGATCTGTTTTTTAAACTACCACTTTACTCATTCGGCAATGAGCATATGGTAAAAGCGTCTATCAAGGCAAGTGGGCTTTGCTATGATTTTCACATTATCAGCAAAATGCACTCAGACATCTGCTTGCTATGATAACATACTCATTAATGGGTTTAATGGGGCCAATTGCAGCTGCCAACCAAAACGGGTCATTTAAAAAATTAAAAGCAAACAAAAAGAGAGATGCAAACAAAATGTTGAGACGATCAGATAAGGGGATGAAATTGATAAGCTTGCACAAACAAAAAAGACGTAGGTATTTGCAAGGGTGAGTGTATAAGCTGTGTTATTAGCACACAGAAACAAGCAGGAATAATTCTCACATTTCAAAAGCGACGCGCACAGAATAAAAGCCTGTTTCCCTTACGCTCTCGTGGACTGGAGTGTGATGTTTGTTCCTCTTCTCTATGCCAGAGCTGTGACTGACAGCATCAACCAGCTGATCACTCTGTGCACACAGCAGGCTCCAGGGCAGAAGGAGTGTGACAATGCCCTGAGAGAGTTGGAGGTAAATAAAACTTTTCCACCTTGCGATCAAGCATTCGCAATCATCAATGGTGTGAGCGAGTTTCAATACAAGCTGTGGATTATAAGATGCCGCTCTTTTCTGGCACTGACTAATGAGAATAAAGTGAAAATAAAAGCCTCTCAAACTTCTATGAAACCTTTATTTATCTCCCAGGCTGTCAGAGGAATGCTTGACAACCCCAATGAACCTGTCAGTGACCTCTCCTACTTTGACTGTATCGAGAGTGTGATGGAGAACTCGAAGGTAGGCTTTTGACTAAAGCGGACAGACACAAAGCACACGGCACACTTCCAATTAGGCATCTTAAGCGTACCATTTCTTCTCTGCCGACTCTCTGTTCAGGTCCTGGGAGAGTCTATGGCTGGCATTTCTCAGAACTGCAAAACCGGGGATGTGTCTGCATTTGGAGACTGTGTGGGATCAGCGTCTAAAGCCCTGTGTGGCCTCACTGAAGCCGCAGGACAGGTACAGAGTGTTAGAGCAACGATTGTCACGCTCCCTGGTCAAATAAAGAAACAGCAGTCGGGGTGATTATGGGGAATGCTGTTTGATGAGTGTTGTTTTTCCACAGGCTTCTTACTTGGTGGGTGTGTCAGACCCTAACAGTCAGGCGGGACACCAGGGTTTGGTGGATCCCATACAGTTTGCTAAAGCCAACCAAGCAATCCAGATGGCTTGTCAGAATCTTGTTGACCCAGAAAGCAGCCCCTCCCAGGTATATCCACTGTTCTCCTCATATACAACCAAAGCCAGTTAATTATATAAAAGTGTAATATACAGTGCAAACATAGCACTGTGGTTACGCTGTTCTGCAGAGATGTTATAGTATGAGTCATTATCAGACCAGTGTGTTGGACTGATATGTGTTCAGAATAGTTTAATCTGCTGCAGCTCGGTCTTGTTTTGTTCCTGTGTCTGTCTTGTTATTTACTGCCTTTCTCTGGTGCTTGACTTTCATTAAGAGATTCCTATGTTGATGGTTCACGCTCACATAAACGAATCTGTAGACTTTTTTTTGTTGTTTGTTTAAATAAACCCAACTTCTTGCGTTTAAGAGAAGTGTTTCGAAAGAAAATTCAGTCACTAAATGCAGACCACCACAACAGTCAGAATTAAGAAATTTCTAGAAAACAGAATTATTGAAACAGACGGTTATCCGTTTGCTCCGAATTGCTTAATATTCTGTACAAACACCCGTGCAGAAGCATCCAACTGTTTGGTAGCCAGATGCTTTCCCTGCAGATCTGGAAGTCTAATATTAATATTTGCTCTATTACTGCCTTTATTTCCATCAACAACTCTCTGCTTTGAAGATTAACATCTTTTTGTCTAATTATGCAACTTCCTAAGCACTCTCACATAAGTCACTTTTCAACTCATCGGTCTATACCAGAGATTTTAATGAAGATCTTTTATTAGTAAATGATTTTTAGTTCAAATAAATGGAAATGGCACAAAACTGCACACATACCACATGGGCGTCTGCAGGGAGTTCCTGAGTCAATTCCCTGCTAACCAGACCTTAACTGCATTCTCCTGCTTTCTTTCATCTCATTTCTTCTTATCTCTGCGGCGACTATCTGATGAAGCCAAAAGTTCCAGAAATCGTTGAAAACAAAAATAATAAGACTGTACATTTGCTGTACATTTGGGCCTCTTATATCAAATCTAGTATTTCCAGTAGTCAGCTCTGATGTGATCTATCGCTACAGATACTGTCCTGAATTTATGTTGTGAGATTGCCCATGCCTGCAGTATTACTGACAATTTACCATTTTACTGTTTTACAGGTTCTCTCAGCAGCCACCATTGTTGCTAAGCACACCTCGGCATTGTGCAATGCCTGTCGTCTCGCTTCTTCTAAGACAACCAATCCTGTTGCCAAGAGGCACTTTGTGCAGTCTGCCAAGGAGGTTGCCAACAGCACTGCCAACTTGGTCAAAACAATTAAGGTAGGTTTCTATCTTGTCAAAAGTTTGACTCTGTGACCTAATTGTCATTGTACAGCTATAAACTTAGCTTAGACATAACATTTCTGTCTTTTCCTTGTGTGATAATCTGGAGGAATCCCTGTTTTTATGTCATATGTCTGTCTTTTTTAAAATATTTATTCTCAGCGCTTGCTTTTGGTAACTTTAATACAGTCAGTTTTAATGCTATTTGTTTCATACACCCTTTTTTTAATTCTCTCACTTTCCAGGCTTTAGATGGTGATTTCTCAGAGGAAAACAGGAACAGGTGTCGAGTCGCCACGGCTCCACTAATTGAAGCTGTTGAAAACTTGACAACATTTGCTTCCAACCCAGAGTTTGCCAGCGTGCCCGCTAAAATCAGCACTGAGGTGTGTGGCTCTGTCAACATTAGTGCAGGACTGTTGCGCGTTTTTACAGTTTACCAGTTGAAGAAAAATTTGGAAAATTATGCAAAATTTAGATTGAGTTTGTTTTTTCTCTAGGGCTCTGCAGCACAGGAGCCCATCCTTCAGTCGGCACGGTCTATGCTTGATAGCTCCACCCATCTGCTCAAAACCGCACGCTCATTGGTTATCAACCCAAAAGACCCGCCCACGTGGTCCGTCCTGGCCGGTCATTCTCGTACTGTCTCCGATTCCATCAAGAGTCTCATCACAGCCATCCGGTTAGTTAACAATGATTCAGTGAGATTTTACAAAACTAGATGCAAAAAGACGAACTACAGCAGGAGTGTTTATGCAAAGGTTTAAGGAACACTTTGACATTTTGGGTGATAGGTACATTCACTTTGTTGCTGATGGTTAGGTGAGGAGATCAATACTGATCATGTCTGTTAGATAAATATGAAGTTGGTGCCATCATCTGTTCAGATTTAAGCTTGAAAATGGGCAAACAGCTAGGGTAGTGTAATTTAAACAAAAACAAAATAATATCATGATTTGGCAGCGATTGTGAAACCCTTTCAATGCAGGAAGACTCCAAATCACCAGTTTAATAATTTATCGCACTTCAACACCACTGTAGTCTATTTCAGTGCAGTGGTGAATTGTGCGTAACACAGTTTGTGCTCCCTTTTTATCTACTTGTATTGCTGTATAAAGCACCTTGAGAGGGGGCAGCCAAAAGCTGTAACCTGGGGTTACGTACACTTGTGTTTTGTGCAGCTCACATTTTTAATCTCCTCTTTCACACAGTTTTGTACCTGACCTTGATCAGAACAAAACTGATGCCCATGAGAGGCTAATTCCCCGAGTCAAACACACTGAATGTTAAGGTTCTCATTCGTCTCAGAACATCTGCACATTAGCATTCATGCGTAGCCGGCTTAGCGTCGCTTTCAGTTCTGATGCCCTTATCGCCGTCTTCCTTTTTAGACTGCAAATTCAGTACTGGGAGTGTAATAGAATTCAGTGATATATTTCAGGCCAAAGAATACACATAGCATCCTGCAACAGCCGGGCTCATAACTTTGTCAGCCTCATTAAGCACAGAGATGAGGTTTTATTTTAGTCTTACTTTTGGTTTGCCACCGTGCATGGAAATGGATGTTTAACGAACTTAATCTGCCCATGAGGCCGGAGCCACAGACAAATCAAAGGCTTCAAAGCTAATTTTGCTGCCTGGCTTGATCTCCCTATGCAGAGACGAGACCCTACAGGCCACAGTTTGGCAGATGTGACCTGAGCAGCAATGAGACGAGGAAGCCAGTAGAGAAAGGGGGAGGGGGGGATGAAAATCCTGCAATGTGTCTGTGTTTTAATAATTCCAATTTTAACTTTTCTTCTTCTGGTCTTTTCCTTTCTTCATTACTCATTTTTGTCTTTCTGGTTGTCTTTTTCTCGTCTCCTGTTTGCAGGGACAAGGCCCCAGGCCAGCGGGAGTGCGATTCGTCAATCGATAACATCAACAAATGTATCCGGGACATTGAGCAGGCCTCTCTGGCCGCTGTCAGCCAGAACTTACCCAGCAGAGACGACATCTCACTGGAGGTAAGCGGCCATCGGAAGATGGCTCCGAATCTTTGCAGACACAAACTTTGTCTGTGTTTTCATTTGTCTTTTTGTTACTTGCGTAGATATTAATCTGCTCTGTTTGCCTTTTCTTTTTTCCCACTTCCACTTTTCCCACTTTTTTTTATCTGTCGGTTTTGAGTCTATTTTTAGTGGTATTAATTAGGTTTTCTGTCCTTGTCCTTCTCTCCGACCATTCAAGAGAGACTAGGCATTATTTCTTTCTTTTCTTTTTGTGTCTTTGAGGGTAACAAAATATTTGAATGGCAGTAGTTCTTCTTGCAGTAGTCCTTCAGCACAGTATGAGCAGAATGTGAGTCTTATGTTTAACACCCTGACACTGGCTTTAATGGGGAAGTTTTGGCACCTGCTAAATAATAAAAAGTTTAAGCTCGCATATTAAAAGTCAGAGTAGCTCAGGGCAGTTATCCTTCTGTTATGTTTCCTGCTTTTTAGCAGGTCCCAGCTGCCTTCTTTGAATGCACCTCTGTCTCCCATAAAAAGCAACACAAAAACCAATTTCTTTTTATTTCCTCTCTTCAGGCACTACAAGAGCAACTGACGTCCACCGTGCAGGAAATTGGCCACTTAATTGACCCCGTTTCCACTGCTGCCAGGGGCGAAGCTTCCCAACTAGGACACAAGGTATATAGGGCAGTGCCTTAATTATTATTATACTCCAACTGTGGAGCAACAAAGTTGTACTTTGTCAGCAGCAGGATTCAGTGGCAGGAGTGTTGCCTATATGTTAATGTTAGCCATGGGCTGTTATAATTATCTCAGCATTATCTATCATTAAATAATAGTGATTTTTGAAAAAAATAGTTGATGCATTGTTCAAGCAGCAGGGTTAGTTTGACTGTTATATGAGTAAACGTTCACCTCCCACATGCTCTGTGTCACTGTCCATCTTTGCAAACTTATCAGCATTTCTTCATGTGTTGTAAAGAAGATTATTACTGCAACATATTCCGTTTTATTCTGTCTGCACACCAAACAGTCTGCTTAATGGCCTGAAATTGTGCCCAGTAAGTGAAATGTATAAAAGGTTTAACACTTATATGACTGTACCATTTTGAAATAATTTGAGAAGCTGCTCATTTTCTGAAACCGTGCTTCTTCACGTGTGAATATGACACTTAGCGATATGTAGGCTGAAGTGCTGACTCGTGCTGTTTCTCTGGACTCATTAAAAACTTTCCTTTTACGTCAGGTGACTCAGTTGGCTGGCTACTTTGAGCCACTGATCAAGGCCTCCGTGGGTGTGGCGTCCAAGCTGAAGGACCACCAGCAGCAGATGACTTTCCTGGACCAAACAAAGACTCTGGCTGAGTCGGCTCTGCAAATGCTCTATGCTGCCAAAGAGGGTGGAGGAAACCCAAAGGCACGACCATTTTATGCTTTATGCACCTTTTTTAAAGTGCTCCTTCGCTTCCTTTACACATATTGGAAAATGATCTCCATCATTAAGTTTTCCAGTGCATCAACAAGTATAATTAACTGTATTTATTGCACACTTATGATACACAATGATGTCTCAAAAGGGTGGAGCAAAGGGTGTCACCATTTAGGCCTTTTTAACTCCTCCCAAATAACGGGAGCAAAAGAGTATCACACATGCGTGACGAGGGAGAGACGGGCACCTTTTACGCCTGTGTGCCACCACAGTTTTAATCAGTCGATCAAAATACGATTAAAGTGGAGACTTTCAGCTTTAATTAAAAGGGTTTTACAAAATTTCTGCATTAACCATTTTGGAATTACAGACATTTGGCAGAAAAAACAAAATAAGTAAACAATCCCAATAGAAATAGGAGTAATCAAATTAATAATCTGCTAAATTCTTTAAAATAATGAATGCACACTGACCAGCTCGGCAGCACAAAAAGGTCTGATTACAGAATTATTTCCATGGTTAAGTAAAACAGTTTCACAGCATCTAACCAATTCTTGAACACTCGGTAAGCACATAATTGTCTTCAAAAACCGTAATGAATGGAAATAAAGAGGGTTTACAATAAAGTGCAAACCACTGGTTACACTCAGAGACAAGATTTTGTATATCTCTAAATAAAACAGAAAAATCTTTGGACAGATGAAACCAAATGGAGGAAAGAAACAAACTGTTATGTCAGTAACATCTGTTCCCTGAAGGGGTTGAAGAAGATATAACACATATAGGATGAGATATAACACTTCCTGGTTGAAGACACTTCTGTTCACGCCATTAATGCAAATGATATGTGACATATGTGAGGCCCTGCCTGCATATAATACACCCTTATCATCACAGTCATCCCTCAGTTTGATAGCCGCTCTTCACCGAGCCCAGCTGCACAGTGGGGCAACTGGTGGTGTATCTAATTCCTCTCCTTCAGGGAACAGAAGTTGAGGACAGAACAGTTTGTACCCTTTCAGGCAATTCACTCTGTACACACATAGTATCAAATATATATACACCTCACAAAGCAGCCGCTGAACTAGAGTCAGACCACCATCATCCGACTGCAGGGTAGACCCAGCCGAGAGGACACAATGAACCACTGATGGGACTGCCAGGTCCAAATGATAGAACCAAACAAAAGTGTGCAGTGATGATCAAGTAACTGCAGTACAAACATCATTCACAGGAACACCTCTAAAAAGACCCCATGAGAATAAAATTCCTCTGGTGCAATGTGCTTTCACACTTTGAGGAAAAAAGAGAGTCCCTTTGTACCATATGCCAGGGAGATGGACTCCATAATCCGGTAGGAGAGCCTCTGTTTAGATGGAGATCTACCTCTGGATGGATTAACTAAGCAGACCAACAATTCATCACACTGAGTATCGTCAATATAGGTATGAAACACTGCACCAGACATAGAGAATACAGCCTATTCTGCTCCTCAGATGGAAAAGGGGGGTGACAAAAGCTCAAATTCATAGAGCTATAAGCTGTAGGAATAACCTCAGGTAAAAATGCAGTATTTGGCCATAATACGATGGGCAAATGGCGCTCGCCTCGTGCTAGTCCACGTCCAACAAATCTCATGATCCAAAGCATACCACATTATCTGTCAAACACGCTAGAGGCAATGTTATGACATGGACATGCATGGGTACTAGTATGTCTTGGCTGCTAGTGTTTATAGTGTACAGAGCTATACTCTCTGCTCAGATTCAGCCAAACGCTGCAAAAGTGACTCGGTTTCAGTGCAAATGGATAATGTTCCAAATACATATTGCAAAAAACCTAAATGTTACTCAAGGCAAATATATCCTGATATATGGGTTAGTTTGACAAGGTCATTTTTAAACCTCTGAAAATGGGGGGTGTGTATATTTCATATGTGCTCGTGCTATGTCACATTTCACAGGCATCCCATACCCATGATGCTATAGCAGAGGCAGCTCAGCTCATGAAGGAGGCGGTTGATGACATCATGGTGACACTTAATGAAGCTGCCAGTGAGGTGGGAATGGTGGGAGGAATGGTGGAGTCGATCGCAGATGCCATGGCCAAGGTGAGTGCAGCCGGTTACAGTGTGTCGTCATTTGGATCAGAAGCCACAGAATAACATCTGCACCAATTTAAAGATATGTTTAGAGTTTTATTGGGTGAATTAAATTGCACTCTCTGGTTCATAAATAACAGACATTACTGCAGCTCTAAAAAAAAATCAAACCCTCCACTTTTAAGCTCTTTGTCCGCATCAGCGATTGTCTGCATTTCACCATCATCTATTTCAGCTCATCACCAACCTACGTGGTGATTGACAGCTCTATTCTGTCTTCATTTGTGTTGCAAGACAGCATGGCTGCTAGTCAGATAATACATCATCCAACATTATCTTACAATGAGCAAAACCACCTGCTGTCCACCCTGTTCCCAACATCCAAAGCAGGCATGGAAAATTAAATGTAGACTAAAAACTAAAAATGCAGCAACTTGATATTATATTACACAGTTATAGTCCATTTTAGAATTTTTAAACCTGCGTAGTGGGAAACATCCTGTTTTGAAAAATGTCCCACCTACAGAAGCCAGAATGCTATAAAGAAACTGAGTGTGTGGTAAATGGATTAAAAGTTAATAGTGATAACAGAAGTTGTCTTATGAAAGCAAATGCTACAGAGCAATCATCATCTAATTAAAGTTTTATTCTTTTCTTGTGTTCATTTGACCCATGACTTCCCGTTGCTCTGTGTAACATCTTGATTACAACCATAATGTTACCCAGGCGTCATTTAAAAGTCACTGATTAACATATTAATACAAATCACGAGCAACTGAAGCAAAGGAACATTGACTGTGAGCGCAGCCATTCTTACTCGGAGTCAGATAATTTGACCTATCTTTCCAATTAACAGTGAAACTATTGGCTTGAAAACCAAGAAAAAGCCTTTTATCTCGAGTACAGGCAGCAGCTAGCATCAGCTAATTATATTTCTCCTTTCCGTACTGAGTGAGGAGCATTGCAAAGGTGAAGAAGCGTCTCAGGAGTGTGGCTTCACCAGAGGGAACAGCATCTTTGCATCAACTTTGTGTGGCATGTCATGAATAATTTATGAAAATGGTTCATTTTTAGTACATGTTGAGCATGCAGGTGCGTGTTTTGTCTGTGTGTCAGTCAGTGCAGTTGATTAAATGGGGATAATCCTCCCCAATAATCCCATTGGCGTAATGGTCACCCTCCATTGTGGTTTTTAGCAGCGGCGATTTAAACAGCTTTTCTGATTAACTTTGAGTCACCTAGTCGAGGCTGCAGATTTTAACGTATTATTTCTATCAGCAGGAGGTGCAAACATCATGCACTTGCAGTATTATGCTATCTTGCAGTACCAGCATGTTTTTCTGGAATCTCCTTTGTCTTCTCTGCCTTTTCCGTGATATTACAAGTAGTCTAATTTGGCAGAAATGCTAGAAACGTATAATGTTTGAACTGCAAGCTGATGATCAAATGTTTTTGGGGTTGATGCGGTTTTAAAGCTGTAATTACAGAGTGGATAATTCATAATGAGTGTTTATCATTCATACAGAGGGTTTCCCTGAATATAAAGCTGCATTAATGTCGGTTTGCTGATGCCTGCACACCTGGCAGAATTGGTATAATTGAAGGGTAGATTAGATCTAATGTGCCATTACAAGTTAAAGAGCTGAAAAATTGATTTCCTTCACGTTTGAAGATGTTTGTTCCTTTCGCGAAGGACAAACCGATGGTGCCTAAAATGAAAAAATGCAGTGGCATTTTAACTGTGTGTTGATGTGTGTTTTTCCTTAGCTGGATGAAGGTACACCACCTGAACCTGAGGGCTCATTTGTGGATTACCAGACCAGTATGGTGAAATACTCTAAAGCCATTGCTGTCACTGCTCAGGAAATGGTAAGCTCTCAAAATAACTCTTAACATTTTTGTTCCTGAAGTACACCTGTGACCTACGAATGGGTTATTGTTGATTATAAACGAAATAGTTTGATTTACATGTCAATTCTGAAATCAAGCTTTTTTCTAATGATCCACAGTTTGATGTTGTAATTTATCAGCCATCTGCATTTAGAGAAATTGTCCTGTTGTGTGGTCCTAATTCTCCATCTTTGTGAGATGACTAGTTGGTTAAATCGAAGCGAATCAAGCTCATTTATAAAAGAAAAATTGATTTTGACTTCACAGCATTTCATAGCGTAGTCAGTAAGTGAGACAGACTTAATGATTTTATCTACCTGGGAGAATCCAAAGATCTGATAAAATGATTTATCTACCTGCAGTCCCTCGTTTATTTTAATGTTCTCCATTTGTCCCATCTCTACTTTCGTCCTCTCATTTGATCACTTTTGTAACCTTGTGATTATAGCCTTGATTTTACTATGCGCTAATGATTTTTGATGGTTTGTTGAAGAAAAGTTAATCTGGGTTTTTTAGTGCCAAATTTCTTTTTCCCTCCATTTATCAGATGACTAAATCAGTGACTTGTCCAGATGAGCTGGGAGCCCTGGCATCACAGGTGACTGTGGACTACAGCCAGCTCGCTGTTCAGGGACGACTGGCTGCTCACACAGCTGAACCAGAGGAGGTGAGGAGGTTTTTACCTACAGAAGAGCTCTGCTCCTTCAATATGGGAATTTTCTCTTTGTGACCTTTAGGCTGCTGTGGATTTAAAGAGAACCTAATGTGCTCTTCATTATTTTCTGTTATTCATATATAAATATATTTACTGTAGGTGAATTTTCATCAAAACTCCAGTTTCAGGCTTCTCTAAACACTCTGTTGTGTTTTTTTTTTCTTGGCTGTGTGCATTGTGAACACAGAAGCTCCATCCACCTGCTCAAATCTTATTTACAAAGGGCAGCCAGTCAGATGAAAGTTGGCTTGAAGGGCAGGGGAATAGAGCAAAAAAAGCTTGTTTCAAACAATACATGAACTGAGGGGCTGAACCAGGACCTGTATAATCATGCAAAGCTTCTCTAGTCCAGGAACATAAATGTGTTTTTCATACATACATACTTTTTTTTAACTATTATTTGTTATTTAAAAAACCCCACCTCCTTTATGTTCTTGCTTTGGTTTGTGTTTGCAGATTGGTTTCCAGATCAAAACCCGAGTGCAGGACCTTGGTCACGGCTGCATCTTTCTGGTCCAAAAGGCCGGAGCTCTGCAGATCACCCCGTCTGACAGTTTTACTAAGCGGGAGCTCATTGATTGTGCCCGTGCAGTCACAGAGAAGGTATTGTTCTGTCAATAAAATGGGACAGCCTTATTTAATTAAAAACACACTGTGCTTTTTAAATTTTGTTCCAGTTTTGGTACAATAGCTCTGCCCACTACTGAAGCAAAACAGGTTATCTTAGTTCCCCCATCCATTAACCCAAACCCATCGGGCTAATTGTTGTCGATTGTTTGTTTGCTTCATCTTTGGGCTGCAGATATTTCTGCTTGGCCGAGTATGTTCCGCTCTGAACTCTCCTCTGTGTTGTTCTTTCATTGAATGTTAGAGTAAAATTGTTTTTAGCGATGTAGTTTACATGAAGTGATTTGGCTCTGGTGGGTTTTATCTGTGTGTGGTTTAATTATAGGAATCCAAAGCATGTATATATGTATTATACACATCATACTTGGCATGTTTTCTTATCAAGTTTTCTCTTGTCTGAGCTTTTCACAGCTGTTATTTCTAATAATTCAAGCGTGCCAGTGTTTTTAATACCACTTACACATAAAAAGGAAATACTTCAAAAACATCACACATTTTTTTCCCCTCTTGCTCTTCTCTGTTTTGACCAGTAAACATATACTTTACTCAAACTGAGCCAAAAGTAACACTACTTTGCTGCAAACGGCCAAACTTGTTTGTCCTTATTAATGTGCATCATAAAATTGACCAACCTATCCCAGATGGGCGAAAAAAGCCTTCATCTGAGCATCCTCTCCTGTGTGGTTAATGGTCTGCTCATGTCCCCAGGTGTCTTTGGTGCTTTCAGCCCTCCAGGCAGGCAATAAGGGCACTCAGGCTTGCATTACAGCAGCCACTGCTGTGTCTGGGATCATTGCTGATCTGGATACCACAATAATGTTTGCGTCCGCCGGCACACTCAACGCAGAGAACGAAGAGTCCTTTGCCGACCACAGGTTAGTGCTTGAAACGCACCCAGTGGTGCAAGACATTTCTACAAGACCCAACAGGAGTCTAAAATCCACCCTGTTGTCATCTTTCATCCCAGACTGACAGAGTGACATATTAGCTGCTGAACGGGGAGGAAATCTCTGCTGATAGAAACAATAAATTATCCTAAGGCTCTGAAAAATGCGCAGAGTGACACTTCTCTTATTGTCCTGCTCTCACACTTGTCCGCTCTAAGGCAGCACTTCCGCCGTTAAATACTAGTGTGTGAAGAAAAATACAGCAAAACGGGTAAAGAATAGACGTGTTCCATTACTTAATTATTATTGTAGTTCCTTACAGATGGTTGTTTGTGACGTTTCACTGTATCTCACTGAAGAATCTTTGAAGTGTAGATAAACAGTCTTGGGACACGATGAAAGAAAACAGAATCACTTAATCTCCGAGCATAGCTCACACAGCTACCTCAGAATAATAGAAGAAACTCTGCAGCTGCTATAATCTCTTTTGTCAATTTTAGGAAAGAAAATAACTGACATGACTTGTTATATAACCTTAGCAATCCTCCTAATGTTTGCACAAGCTTTCATGAAGAAATGCCTTTGATATTAAAAGAGATGTGCAGCAATATGTGTGTCCTTTTCACAGCAGTTCTCACGCAGTTCATTTTTTTTATGTCTTTTTCCCCCTTGTTTAATCTTTCCTTTTCTGTTTCAGGGAAAACATTTTGAAGACGGCTAAAGCTCTGGTTGAGGACACAAAGATGCTGGTGTCTGGCGCAGCTTCCGGTCAGGAGAAGTTGGCACAGGCTGCTCAGTCTTCTGCCAAGACCATTACCCAGCTCACAGATGTGGTCAAATTGGGTGCTGCCAGCATTGGCTCTGATGACCCTGAGACACAGGTTGACCATTATTGTGTTTGTAATCCTCTCATTTCTGTTTGTCCTTTGTCCAGTGCGCCTGTTTAATAGGAGGAATTATGGAATTATGAACTGCGACTGGCAATAACCTTTCAGTGTTTCTGCTTTCCTGGACTGCAAAGTGATTAGTCAGTGTCTTTCTGTCCTTTCTCTAGGTGGTGCTGATAAATGCTGTCAAAGATGTGGCCAAGGCATTGGGTGAGCTCATTAGTGCCACCAAGTGTGCCGCTGGCAAGGCAGCCGATGATCCATCTATGTACCAACTAAAGAGCGCTGCGAAGGTGAGGAGATCAGTCTGCAAGTGCTGAGACTGTCATCTAATTTAACATCCTCCAGTGGGCTCGAATATAGAAATCTGGATATGGGATATTTTCTTTATTTTACTCAACAAAAACAATCAAATCTATTTGATTTTTGTTGGTTTCTCTTATGTTCATCTTTTCTGATTATACTAATGGAAAACTGGAACTGACATCAGTTTCAATTGATGACAATAATTCCACCGTCCTACATCCTGTATGCGCAGACATCCTCCCCTTACTCAGGCCGAGTCATTAATCAGTAAAATCACCCACAAGAGTTAAACTGGAGACTTGGTAATGGAAATTGTCAGGCTGTTCGGGATAGCAGGAAGCGTCTAATACTTCTAACCAAGATGATTATGCTTAGTGCTTTGCTCAGGCACACATGTGCTGTAAATTTTCACAGTTACGGCTCATAACTCACCGATGACACTGTCGACTGCTCATTATCACCTCAACCTGTAAAGTCTGGGAAAAAAAATGTCAGTTCTCAGTCAGCAACACCACAGAGTGTCATGAAGTCTCTCTGAAGATCACAACATGCCTCGCATACAATTTTAGGACCGGAGGTGGGGTGGTGGGGGGGTTCGGTCTTTCTTTTATGGGGCTTGTGTGCCCCCTATCTTTCAGTATGGTGCATTACAGCTGATTTTAACTGGATGTGTTCTGTTTTTATGTCCTCTCATTGTTCCAACATAAGTGTGAAATTACGGAGCTATAGAAATGTCATCTGAATTAAATTAGTTCAAACTATAAATGAAAACATGATGAGCCAAGGAAATATATATATTAAAAAAAAGTGCATCACCCATATATGATGATCGTCAGGGCTGTGTCCACCAGTGTAGTGAAATATCTTGATTGGGGATGTGTTTATATGCTCAATTACTTATAAAATAAACAGTCCTAGATGTTTTTTTTAAATATAAATTACAACTACATATACGTTTATTACAAAAAACAACCAAATACTGAACCTCCTCGTTGGTAATATTATTATAGTAATAAGACTGTTGTCTTAAATATTCCATAATGTCAGTGTTTGTTCTGTTTTCCTTCCTCTATTTCTAATTCAGAGCTTGGATGTGGCTGAACACAGTGTTCTCTGTTTTCTCCAGGTGATGGTGACAAATGTGACATCCCTGCTGAAGACTGTCAAAGCTGTGGAAGACGAAGCTACTCGCGGTACCAGAGCGCTTGAGGCTACAATCGAGTGCATTAAGCAGGAAATGTCGGTAAGGACGAGTCGAGAGGCTAAGCTTGTGAACGTTAGTTAGCAGTATGGTGGCATCACACATTTCAGAAAGGGGGCTGATCAGTTTGCAAGTGTGATGAGTAATATTTTTGTAATTATTGAAAATGTCGCGTGAGTGACAAGGTAAACATCTTTTGTTTTTTTTTCACAGTTAGGAGTTATTGATTTTAAAATTCCCTGAATTAAGTTTGTGATCTGAAATGTCCACAGGTGTTTCAATCCAGGGATGCTCCCAACAGGACAACCACACCTGAGGAGTTCATTCGCATGACTAAAGGAATCACCATGGCAACTGCTAAAGCGGTGGCTGCAGGGAACTCTGGCCGACAGGAGGACATCATCCATACTGCCAACGTCAGCCGCAAAGCCATGTCAGACATGCTCACTACCTGCAAGGTGCTCTATTGCAACAAACAAGTCATGCATGTCTAAATTTGATTTACTGTGGTACTTCCAAAATGTTGCAAAAAAAAAAAAGAAAATGTGTCCATCTATCCATTATTTCCCACTTATCTGAATTTGGTTGTGGTAGCAAAGGCTAAGCAGGGTATTCCATCTTTAAGGCTGAGCCCAGCATCATCAGCATCAATCATTTTTGCCACTACAAATGCAAACCAAAACCTGAAATTAGAATTCTGACCCACAAATGTGTGTGTTTGTGTCTTTCAGCAAGCAGCCTACCATCCTGAGGTCAGTGAGGAGGTGAAGAACAGAGCACTGATGTTTGGAGCAGAGTGTACAACTGCTTACATTGACCTACTGGAACATGTACTGCTGGTAGGTTGAATACTGCACCAGCAAGTCTGTAAAAATAAAAGACTTGTACAAACGCTAATTATTATTATTTGATACTTTAAGCATCTTTAATATAAGCATCCACCATTGCAACACTATTTATGTATCTATATATACAAAAATAATAAGGAAAAGTTTATTTTAAGTTTACACTGTTGCACCCATGTGTTTGTAGGTCCTGCAGAAGCCTACTGCAGAGCAGAAGCAGCATCTGGCAGCTTGTTCCAAGCGAGTAGCCGGAGCAGTAACAGAGCTCATCCAGACTGCTGAGGCCATGAAAGGTAATGCACACAGTCACACATCACCACATGTTACACAAGGAGTCCTTTTGAGATGTCATGCATTAAACCCAAATTCATATGAGTAAAGCTTTTATTTACTTTCTAATAAAGCTCCCAACAAATGTTATATTGCTATTAATAGTAGGATGTATTTTTAAAAAGCTCATGTAACAGGGAAAAAAAATTATTTACTCAAACATTTGGTAATATTCCTGTCCTCCTTCTCTTGCTACAGATGGAGGTAAGTTAGGGCCGTTTTCTGTACTGTGCCAGTTGTGAGCTCTTAAATAATTTCTCTCCTCAGCACTAACATCGATTTTATTTAATCTCATCAAATCCAGCTGCTCTCAGGCTTCTCAGTTACATCCATCTGCTCCATCCATCATGCTTTCTTTTATGTACCATTACTCTGTCTCCATCGCAGTGAATGATGGTTTGTTGTCAGCTATGCATGGGATGTGAAGATACATGGCACACTTTCCTGTGTGTGGTCACGGTGTACTTGTTTTCTTTGGATCACAGCGTGAAGCATGTTCGGTCAAAACACTGCTTTGTGAAGCATTAATAAAATCCTGTTTGCAAATTCAAATCTTATTCATGAATATGGGTGTGCTTGCCTGCCTCAGGTTCAGAGTGGGTGGATCCCGAGGATCCAACAGTGATCGCAGAGACGGAGCTGCTCGGAGCAGCGGCGTCCATCGAAGCAGCAGCTAAGAAGCTCGAGCAACTCAAACCCAGAGCCAAGCCAAAGGTGGGTGACTGTATGGTGAATAAATGAGGAGAGAGGTGAAGGAGATAATCGTGTCAACATTATGTTAAAGAGAAAGACAACCTGTCAAAAGGCCTTTTTCCATTTTATTTTATTTATTTTTTTACAGTTTAAAGCTTTCTAAGATATTGTTTCTGTCAGCAGTCTCTGGAAATAAAGAAGAAATATTCATCATGAAGCTCATAAAAGTCTTTCATCATGATAGATGATGTGTGGATAGAAATAATGGTTACAAGAAAATGTCCTGACTTGAAAATTTAAAGTATGAATGGAAAATCATTCCTAAACAATCAATTTACTAATGGCTATAGGTGATGTTTATATGGAATTTCAAAGATGATGTGATGAGCAGCTAAAATACTTTAAAATCATTAAATATTATTTTGAAGATAGAGAGAGTTGTTTCCAAGATGCAAAAAGGGGAATAAACCGCAAAAACATTACATAAAACCTGTAACCAAACCCCTCAGGATCCCCTGCTGGCCACATTAGTTAAATCTTTACAATTTTAGTGAACGTTAAGTCTAAAAAGAAAATGATAATCTAACTTTTCTATAATATAGATTATAGATTAGTGAGCTGGAGTACTTTGGTGCTAATTTTATCAGGTAACCAAATTGAAGTTGTTTTATTAAAAAGTACCAACATAACAATGTAACTGTTAAAAGTAAAAATATACACACATTGCCTAAAAATGAGAACCTCTAGAGTGTTATTATGGCCCGAGCACTAGTGTGTGAAGGACCTATTGTAATCGCTTTGTTTATCGTTGCATTATTATTGACTGTGTGTGTGATTTTACTGTTACAGCTTGCTTAAATGCTTTTTATATAGTAACAATTTAATGGTGACCAATAAAAGGTCAGGTCCTCTGCAAAGAGTCACAGGAGGCATCTGAAATGTTATTGGATGTGGTTGATAATCTCACTATAAAACACCTGATAATATGATGTTGCCCAGCATCTAACAACAAGCCAACCAGTGCTGTAATGTGGACATGTGTTAGTTTATTTAATGTAAAAACTAGTGATTTAGAGTAGAGTGCACTTTGATCGGAGCACGAAATATTTCACCTTTTCAGATTACAGCTCATCCTTGTAACTGCCAAGTGATTTGTTGACTTTTAGATAAAACTTCTTATTTTGATCTTTGGACTGCACAGTGTTTACAGCTCTGTACATTACATAAATGAGCTCTGTAGGAATACGTTCAAGTATATCCTAAACAGTGCTCTGTGCATGCCTGTAAACATCTTTTTGTGTGGTTTATATCCAAGTTTCAGTGTTATTATTGGAAGTTGTACAAGGAGCAATTTTACGGTAACAAAATAGCACATTTTGTTTTGTTGCATTACTGAAAGGGTGCTCTATTGCTTGTCCTGTCTGTCAAGCTGTTGTATACAGTACTGTGCAAAAATCTTGAGCCATCCCTTATTTCTTTAAATTTTGCTTCAGAGAAGCAGCCTGGCTTATATTTTTTATATTTTTCTTAACTGATCTTGAGCTATAGTTCTCCAGGTTTTCAAAGTTTTTCTTTGTTCATTTTCTGGCTAGTCTTGAAACCTGACAATTTTCAGAGGAAAATTTTTTTTTTGACCTATGAATTATGCAAGCATAAAAAATGAATCTAACTCAAATGATGAATCTGAATTGTGTCTACACATAACAGACACGAACCAATTTCTAGTTGTATCTTGAGGCACTTTATTATTTGCCGCTTATCATAAACTTGTAGTTTGTTCAATTCGATTTTATTTACATAGCACTAAATCACAACAGGTGTCGCCTCAAGGTGCGTTATAGAAATCCCAACAATCAAACAACCCAATTTGAGCAACCACTTGGCAACAGTGGAAAGGAAAAGGTCCCTTTTAACAGGAAGAAACCTCTGGCAGAACGAGGCTCAGAGAAGTTTTTCTGCATCACTCGGAGACAGGATGTTTCCAATTTTAAAGAGATGAGGCCTCCAATTTCCCATTTGTTCCCATTTCTTTAGTTGAATCTACAAAAATGCCAATGCCACACTTTGACAGGTATAAAATAGTATTTTTACAAAAACATGTTTCCCAAAACATTGGCACTGTTTTAAATTGAGGAAACTGGACAAGAGGAGGACAGAAGAATTGTCAGGCCTAAAAATTGTCTACAGCAGATGGAGAGTATCTGAAAGTAATGGAGAGCAATCCAGCAAATACCTGACACAAAACCTGAGAGATGCATCTGGTCCTTCAGTTGATTGATCTACTGATCACTGAAGCCTCAGTGGAAATGGTCTCAGTGGAAGAGTAGCTGTTAAGAAGCCATTCTTAAGGAAGGGAAACCAGGACGAACGGCTGAGGTATGCCAAACTATGTATGTACAGAGGTCAGGAGAGAAATTCACAACAATAAGCCACCTTGTCAAAACTCATGGAATTATGAATGCAGAATTGTGATCCATCATGAAATACCAGGAATAAAGCATGACAATGATTCCCAAAACGATGCCAATGCAGTGAAACCATACTTGGACAGAAACCACACAATGGGAAACTGCGTCATGGACTGACCTCCCGAGAGCCCGGACCTCAGCATTTTTGGAACAGTGTTGTCTCATCTGGACAGAAAACAAAAGGCAGCCAACATCCAAAGAAGAGACTGAAGAACTTTTCTTGAAGAGAATTTAAAGAAATTACATGAAAGCTTACCTAAGAGAGTTCAGGCTGTGCTGAAGAATAAAGGCGGTCATAACCTCATTAGAATAGTCCAAACTAAATTACATAATTCAATAACCCGTTTCCACCCATTTTCTATTTTCGTGCAAGTTATGAAGAAATGAGGGATGGATCAAGAGTCTTACACAGTACTGTGTGCATATGTGTATATATATCTGTGTATATATATATGTGTATGTATATATATATATATATATATATATATATATATAATTGCATATTCATGTTCATGGAAGTATTAATGTGATCTCTGTAGCTGACACTTGTTGTATTGACAAACTCACTAAAATTCATGATACTGTACATAATATTGTCTTCATTCAGATCAATTCAAACACCATCATGTTTACTGTGCCCTCCCTCCTGTTCATCCCACTCCTCCACCACCCACCCTGCCACCGATCCAGCCATCTGTGTTATTTCATTGTAGTTCTAGCTTAAGCCTGTCCCAGTCTGTGTCTTCTAGCTCCCAGTTAACCCCCCGCCCTCCCTATTCCCTCCCTGCCTGCCCCTACCACCGGAGGCCTTCTCTGCAGGGCTCTGTCTGATATGTTTGATATATTAGGTTGTTATTCAGTCCCAACTATATATCAAACATATTCCTACAGTGTCCCGCTCTGTCTACAGACATGTGGTGTGAATGTGTTTGTGTGAAAAGTGTGTGTGTGTGTGCGTATGTGTTTAGAAAAAAAAAGGAAAAAAAAAAAAGCAGATGAGTATAATAGGATGTTTTCTATAGAGTCTTGCTTGATGTTGTTGTATGTAGCTCCTTATCAGCTCTTGCAGTTTGAGAAGAAGCTCTGTATCTGGATGAATCATCATTTTGTTTCTCTTACCAAGTGTCCCAGCCTTGGTCACTGATGATCAATCAAGTCCTGTCTAAAAATGTGCATACAAAATGTTATTCAATGGAGTAATAAATCCAAAGTTCATCTGTTTCCAGTGATAAGTACTTCAGTTTGAGTAGAGGATTAATCAACTTTGATATTTCTTTAAATTTCACCCTGGCGAAAGACTTAATCATTTGAATGGTTCTCTTCTCCCTCAGCAAGCAGACGAGACCCTGAACTTTGAGGAGCAGATCCTAGAGGCAGCTAAATCCATTGCTGCAGCCACCAGTGCTTTGGTTAAATCAGCCTCAGCTGCCCAGAGAGAGCTGGTGGCTCAGGGGAAAGTGGGCTCTGTCCCTGCAAATGCTGTGGATGATGGACAGTGGTCCCAGGGGCTGATCTCTGCTGTAAGTGCTGGAGTGAAAAGTGTTGTTTTACACAGGTTACAATCACATCTGCCAGAAATTAACTTTAAATAAATTAACTTATTTTTTTCATGAACAGGCACGTATGGTAGCAGCAGCAACTAGCAACCTGTGTGAGGCAGCTAATGCCTCGGTGCAGGGTCACGCCAGTGAGGAGAAACTCATCTCTTCAGCCAAACAGGTGGCAGCCTCTACTGCTCAGCTGCTGGTGGCCTGTAAGGTGAAGGCTGACCAAGACTCTGAGGCCATGAGGAGACTGCAGGTAAACACAGCCAGTTAATTTAAAAGCGCTGATATGAAGAGGATTAGCGATCATCTTCAATAGCTTTTTACTTTACAGGTGTGCATTTAATTAGAAAATGTTTATGCTCGTCTTTGCACCAGTTAAAAGGAACTGATTGCTTTTATGTTGTTGTTCTGTTCTGTAAATGATGTATTTGCCCTTTAGATTGCTGGAAATGCAGTGAAGAAAGCATCCGACAATTTGGTGCGGGCAGCTCAGAAGGCAGCATTTGAAAAATCCGATGAAGACAACGTGGTGGTGAAGACAAAGTTTGTGGGTGGAATTGCGCAGGTAATGCTTTTAATTTTGAAACCAGTTTCTGTTGCATTAAAAAATAAATCTGTTCATTCTGGTGTGTTTAGCAGTTTTATTGTTAGTGAAATTTGTCCTTCATATCCACTGGCTCACACATCTCTAGTCACCAGCTTTACAAATAATTTCAGTTTCTCATTCTTCAGCACTGCTGGGCAATTATTGATTTGATGCTGCTGAAAAATGCTGACAAGCTATTGAAATGCCCTCTACTTGTTAATTATTTCACGTCTCCTGATGGTTGTCAGTGTTCTCAGAAAAGATTTTTGTCTTCTTCAGTCAATACATGGAATTCAAATCCCCTGTTTTTGTACACAAGTGCATTCCCACACATCTTAAGTTAGACCATACAACCAATAAACACACAGAAACATAAGGCATAAAGACACTGAGGTAGTAAATGTTCTAAAAATTGCAATTACATTGCGACAATTGCATATTTTGCAGGTTTTGGGTCGTGTGTGTATTAAAAAAAGGTTAAAATGATATATGCTCTGACATAAAAGTTTCCTCACTGTCTGTGTAGATCATTGCCGCCCAGGAAGAGATGCTGAGAAAGGAGAGAGAGCTGGAAGAAGCCAGAAAGAAACTGGCCCAAATAAGGCAGCAGCAGTACAAGTTCCTGCCCAGCGAACTGCGAGAGGACAGCAACTAGTTATTCAGCCTCACCTTTGCTGCTACGTACGCTTGCACCAGTGTGAAGAGCACATCTGTTTTTGTGTGCATATTTGTATCCTGCTAATGGCACACCTGGACTGGTACGCCGTCCTCCAGTGAATCCAGATAAGTTGTGACTGATTAACAAACCCGGGTCTGCATTGAACACCGCTGACAACATGTTAGGTCATCTACTAGCACGTGTTAAAAACTACTGCGTGATACTGACTACTTTGTGAAAACAACAAAAAGATTGTGGCGATCGCCTGAAGAACTCCTTCATGTCCTAATGTATAACTACTTCAAACTGATGTGATCTAAACCAGAATGTGACATGCTTAGTTCAAACAGCACATGTGCTCTCACGTTTGTTCTTAAGCGCCATTTTTGTAATGTTTAACAATTTGCAGCTCTTGTGCATAAAGTTTAAAATGAAGAACTGATTGTATTGCTGTTCACGTCACATAGCCATTTAACTGCAACGACACCCTGAAAGCAAAAACATTTCTGCTTGGTACTCTGATATTGTATGAATGTTTGCCTGTATACCCCAATCTGGCACCTTAATGTCTGTCTGAATCGTGTAAATCACTGTGGCATGACTTGACTTTAATTCAGTGGCCATAAACCCTAATATGAAGGAAGACCAGATTTTGCGTATGGACGTTTCTTGGGCCATTTCAACAATGAAAGTGTTTTGGGGTTTGTTTGGTTTTTTTGGCAATCCTCTCTTCGTGTAGAGAGTTACAGAATATAAGCGTCTTTGTTTCCTTTCTTCTCATTTTTATACTCTTTGTTTGCTCCACGTGCAAAACTTTTTTTAATGCAACTTGCAAGAAATTCTCCGTTTGTCACAACCCTTGACTTTAGGACCTCATGTGCAGCCTCTAAGACTCAAATAGAATGTTTTACATTATGTTACCATGTAAATGCTTTCCTACGCAGGGCATGTTACCATAAAATGGATATTTATTACTCCTGAGTATTTTTAGCAGAGAGGGGTCTCTTTCAGGGTCGCAAACGGTCTCATTTATTTACTACCACTAGCAGAGTCCTGGGTGGCTTCTTGGCAAGATATCAAATATCTTCAAAGACCTTCAAAAGTCTTTTTTTTTCCCAATTATTTGTCATTTCAGGTAATGGGACCTATATACAGTTTGAACAGAATATGATCATGATGCAATAAGATGGATGGTGCTTTAGGGGGCAGTGTTAGCTTCCCTTCTGTAAGAATCCAAAGCTCTGCTTATACTTTTCGTGCAGAATGGAAAAGTTTGCGTAACCCTGCAGGCCGACTCCTACATAATGCATGTTTGGAATAACTGGAAAGATGCCAGGGAATTAGTTGAATTAGCCGAATGCCATGCAGAGTGCCACTTCTATGCATGCACTTTTTCCTGATGATTAGTCCCAACAGATTTACTTTGGTCCTTATATGTTAGTATTTTTTTTTTTCTTTCATTTTTTCCAGCAAAATTCATCACTGCCAGGGACTGATGTTATTTATCTCCACATTTCTAAATTCGGGAAACAACAAAATTCAGAATCTAAAAGATTGGTCAATAAGCAGATTCTAACAAATGAATGAATAAATAAATACACAAATAAATCTTTAACATGAATGACCTGAAAGTGAAGAGCCTGCAACACTAATCCTTCTCCTGTTCTGGGTGCTCTGTTACTGAATATGCTACTCGCTGCAATAGAACAACCTTTTGTTTGTAATGTGTTTTGTTCACATGTCTTACTATATGGACTCTGTTTCAATATTAAACTACAGTAGATTGTGAGAATAGGTCCTGCTGTGAAAATGCATGGCTTTGTGCTTTGGATGCAGATAGTTTCAAACCTCCACGTGAGACCATCACCTTTAAGTTTGTTTGTTTTAAAGCATTGGGACTGAATTCAGAGACATTTTCTGCCATTGTGTGTTTTTTGTGTGAGCGTGAGAAGCGAGGGGTGGGTTCACTGCTTTATCAGTCAAGTCTGTAGTGTTTTTATTAGTGCCTTAGTCCGTAGCCCATACACTGTTTGGTCTGCTTATGTGACAGCTTCACCTCAGTGGTCAATAGAAGGTAGTGGACATGCTATTTTTTTTTTTTTTGTTCTTTTTCTTTTAAATGTAGGTTCATGTCTGTGGATTGTTAACATTTGATTTCCCACTCACTAGCGTACTGTTCCTCTAAGTGCTGAAAGCAACTGCACCCCCTTTATTTTCCTCTCTGCCACATGCAAGGCCTTTTAGGGATGATGGAGGAACTGTCTGCCAGTCAAAAAAAAAAAAGTGTCGTCCTTTTAAAATGTATTATCAGTATGCCATAGATACTGAATATGTATATTACACGGATGAACACATTTTAGTACTGCATTCCATGGGCATGTACCACAGTGCTTCTAAATGACGACAGACTGGACACGTGAGCCTGTCGACTGCTTTGTGTGTTATGAAGTCACTGAAATCTTATGGGTGGGCTTTCTTTCCTTGTGCTTTTAAAACTATGAACGAAACATGTGATAAGAACATTTCGATATATCTGTCACCATTAAGATGTTGTGATGCATTTTCAATGCTGTGGACTATTTGAAGTGTTCTGTATGTTTTGTTTTGTTTTTCGCCCCCTTCCCTTGACAGAAATAAAATTAGGAATTCGCTACAATAAAGATAAATGATAACATACAATATAAAAGATATTTATCTGGCCTCGATAAAAACTATTTTTTGTATTCACTGAAAATAAAGCATTTCAATGTAATAAAAATTTGTGTGGTTGTTTTACTTGTAATGTGCACGCAGTCAGGTCTGCAAGTTTCTGTATAGTTGCAAAACCAAACAGCCAATATGTAACTGAAATGCAGACTTTATATAGACTATATATAGAGAGATGTGTATATATAGAGAGATAGATATAATAAAACTCCCCAATTCATGGGAGCGTGCAGCTATATCCAGAGTGCATGAGTGATTGTTACACCATGCAGGGCTTCTGACTTTTAAAATTGCATATAATTTCCAATATTCTTGTAAATAAAAAGAAACTATTAATACTTAGAATTAACCTCAACTGCTAAAATCTCACATTTGAAACATCTTTTTCACTGGTATGCTGAAAGTGCAGCTTCCTGGAGACAACTGACACCAAAGTCTGTCCTCAGAAACGGTCCATTTGGGCTTTTAGTGAGGACAAAACTGAAAGAAACTAAAACATTTTGTAAAATGCACTGGATCTCTATTCTCTGGAGGGTTCAGTAACAATAGAAACATTTGCATTATGAAACAAAAAAATCTTTTTTGTGGGCTAAAGTTTGCTCTAGTTTCAATTGTAAAGTACAAGATTATTGTGAAAAGAAACTGAAGTTACTCCAATTTGTCTTATAGCTTGTTGATGGTTTATCTCTGAATATATCTGAGAACTCTGATCACATGTAGATCATTACTGGCTGCCAAGATTGCACTTCTATTCTGGCACAACCCTCTGCCAATAATAATAATATTTATCTGGAACGCACATTGAATCAAAGGCATCATAAATTAAAATATCTTTAACCAAATTAGGTGAGAATAAGATCGTATGTGTACTTCTTGACCATTAATAATAATAATTTCTAATTTAAACATATCACGTTCAACTTTGACCACGCAGTGTTTAATCCTGTGTGTCAAGAACTCGTTTTAGTGTGTAGTTAAAATGCACTGAGGTTCAGTATCATGCTATATACGGACTCTACCAGAAGTTTATTACCAGCATACTGTAAGACTTTTATGTTGGGATATCATATTTACAGAAAGCAGAATTTAACAGTCTGCTGATAATGTAGAACATCAGATTCATCATGTCTGTTGCATCCATGTGTGATGTTGGAGCTGCAGAATGTGAAACCACTCTAAGTGAATAACAAGAGGGGTGACTTCTGGCGAACAAACAAGGTCTCTTTAAGTGTCTGTGTCACGACAAGTTGGTATTTCTGAGTCAGCACTAAACCTGACTCTATATTGAGTCTGGACTATAAAATGAAGCCTATGCTAAATTTGTTCAGCACTAAAATTTGAGGAGGCAAAGTCAATTGCAGTGACACAGCTGCTCCTGGCACTGTTTTAAAACCTGGAGTCCTTTTTCCCCCCTGATATTTTCTCACTAAATGAGCTTTTAAAGCAAATACCTCGTGTTTTTCTATCTGGCACAAATCTGAAGCTTTGTCGCTGCTAAAACATTTCTGTTAACAGTGGGTCTGACTTGTAACAAGAGGCCCTGTTGGCTGCGGACAAGACAGCAAAAACCCTGGCTGAAAGGACGAGGGCATTGCATTTAATGTGGACAAGCAGGTGATAGAAGACAGCTCATCCATTATTTTTATGTCCTAAATCTAATTATAATTGAAGTCAGAAGGCAGCTACAGTTACTGATGACTACAGCATACTATATAGCAAGTCTTGATGCTTCAGTTGTGCTCAATGTAAGATTACCCGTCGTTAGTTAGTGGCGCCTTGGGGACAAACGGCATCTTGAGCTCCTTCTTCTCATCTGCTCTTTCATCCCATCTCTCTACATTCACTACCTCACGTTCATCTTTTCTTTTCAATAAAAAGATTAGGGTCAGATCAGCTGGTTTTTGTGGTGTTATTCCACCGATGCGCTAAAATGGATTACCGTGACGAGAACGCTGCACACTCATACACACTCATTCATTTGCACGGCCTCACATATGAATCTGTCTAAACCCTTTTGATGAGCTTCATTAAGTTTGACTCACCAGGTTTAAGTGAAACGCCGGCAGTATGTGTGGGTATCTTTTAATTATTGAAGAGGAAGTGAGAAATTCCAGTCTAGACATTCCCAGTGATATCATCACCAGACTCCCATTTTTTTTTTTTTTTGTCTGGGAGCTCCTTACACAGCCGTCTAAACAGATCTGTGACAAAGTTTATATTTGTGGTCTGACACCAAACTGTAAAAACACTGCTGAATACCTTTGGCATTACAAAAGTACATAAATAAAAGAAGTCAATTACAAGATGGCGCATAAGCCCGGCTGATCTTTCAATCATAGTGCGTTTAGATTTATGAGCGCCTCGCAACAACAAACAGGTCCTAAGCAATCACCACTTAATGAAATGAAATTGCAGCATTTAAAGTTCACATGCGGCTCGTCACAGGACTGCGAGATAATGGTAACAAGGCCATGCACTTCTTTGCATGTAGGGACTTCTGGAAACACTGAGGTTTGATTCAGTTATCACACCTGTCTGCCTTAAAGCTTTAACAGGTTTGACAGCACTCATTTAATATCCAATTTAACTAGTGACATTTTTTAAAAGTCTTCTTTGAACTGAAACTTTTCGGATTAATTATCTATGTGCGTCCTGGACCCAGACAGGAACCATTAACTGAGCATCTTTGAGTGCATACATGACAGAACGTACAAACCCCCACACAGAAGGTTCAAACCCAGGAACCTCTTGCTGTGAGGGAGTAGTGCTAAACACTGAGCCATGGTGCTGCTAATTTTAGGTCTGGTGGTAAAAAACAAAAGGTCAAAAGGACCCAAATGATTAAGAAAATGATCACTTTGGTTGATAGCAAAATGGCTGAAAATGTTGTCTGTGTAGCAAGGCCATGGGGAAAAATAGCAATATTTGCTAAAATAAGAAGAAATAAAAAATAAATAATTCTTAATTATCAAATTAATACATCTCTGTCTCATGATTCAAATTCCCTTGACCTAACCTGAAGAAATCATTATTTGTTGGACAGGTACAATGTGACGATGTTCGTCTCTCTATCTATCCAGAGTGCTAGGGTGACATGGATTGCGCCCTGAGCCTCTCTGATCTCTGTGTATGACTGGTATGCCTGCCTGGCTGCTGAACTGTCCACAAACACATGGCAGAATGACAACACAGTGACAGCTGACTGCCTTAATAAAGCTCCACAGGAAGGATTTCAGGCCAGACCACCAACAAAATAAAATGCAAAGGTACATCACAGAGATAAAGGGAGAGAATTAAAAACATTAAGATTTTACCATAATTCGTAGACTTAAATCACACCTTTCTTGGCTGCTACTTCAAAGCACATTGTGCGCTGTCTGTCCTGCGTGCTGCACAACAACATTCAATATTTAGTATTTACTGCTGTTTACACTTAGCTAGATTAATGCGATGGTGTTGTGTTTAGTATGTTGCTTTGGTTTTTTTTTTGCTTGTTTTCTATTCTTTTTCTCTCAACAGGTGATCCAGGAGATATTTTTTTCCCCCCTTTCTCACTGTCCATCTCCCCTTCTGTTTTTCTTTTCCTTCCTCTTTCTTTCTCCCTTTCCTATCCCTCACTCATGTCTGTCCCGTCTGTAACAACTAAAATAAATAAAAATAAATAAAATAAATAATAAAAACAAAGGTCGATCAAATGGACCAATTCGGCAATGCCATGATGATCCATTTGGCAAAATAAATCCATTGGGTATCCTTGTTGGTCTTCAGACAACAATTCTGACGGCTAAAGAACCAAATGGGACAGGCAAAAAAAAATATATATTTTACCATAATTATTTAATGATCTTGTAATCTCTTCTTTAAGCATGTGAACTAACAATCATTCACATAATAAAATTGTGGTTTATCAAATACAGTATCAGTGAACCATTTGGTGTGCTTGTGCTTTGCTTGCTTAAAAAGTGTTTGATGTCTCTCTTCTGAAAGTCAGGCTGTAAAGAGTATGGGGTCATGGAGAGTCCAGCAGGTGCTGTCCAAGCAGCAAGATTCCAAAATATGCACTCAACAAATAGCATAAGGGACGAAGCGAGTAGGAGATGACAAAATATTCTTAGAATGCTTTGTTATTTGTTACGATGTAAGATGAGGTCAATGATGTTCATACAGTATTACACAACTTTCTTTTTCAGGTCCAGTTCTTCTTACATGCAAATAATCAATCACTGTAGTCAACACTAGGTTAAAATATCATTCCTCAACCGTCCTGACTGTATGTTGTGTGTGACAGCTGCAGCAGTGCCAGTGGCTGTGTGAACTCTTACTGAGGCGCAGGGAGGGGGTGATGTTGAAATTCCAGAGCTTCTGTATGTGCACACCACTGTACCCACTGTGGCAAATCTGAGCTGGAATTATCTCGCATGTATTAGCTGAGAGAAGAGTTGGACAGGCTTGATGATATAACTCTACAGAAAGCAAAGCCTATCTGGTTGCTGCTTGGATGTTGAACTATGTTGTATGGGAGCTGCTGAAATGATCCCTGAGCAGCAAACAAGCCATACTGGCTAATATGACAGCCCTCCAGGGGAGAAGAACTTTCGCAGGGGCTTAACCAATCAGATATATTTGTTTTGTGGGAATAGCTTTGATGCAAGAATTGGTACCATAATTCTTTAAGTGTTTATTTCTGGATACAGAACAAAATGTTTGATTAAGTAAGCAAGTAAGCAAAATTTATTTATATAGGAAATTTTAAGACAAAAACAGTCCCAAAGTGCTTTGGAAAGGTATTAAAAATGTGGTTTTGGCCCAGTTTGGTGGATGCAGTTTGGCTCTGTTGTGTAAAAAGTAGGTTTTAAAATAATTATAGGATAAAAGTCAGTTGATGTCTTAAATGTACATTTTTTCACATGTATTGTAGTTTGTGGCTTATCTTTCTGAGTGCTAACTGAGTCGTCATTACCAACACATTTATTCCAAATAACCCCCCTCAGAGAACTACTCTTTGAGTCTTGACACTTTACTTCCACTTGGAAGGTGTTAGAAATAGGAGTG